CTGTCTCTCTTCCTCTCTGTATATCTGACTTTGTAATAAAAATAAATAAATCTTAAAAAAAAAAAAGAGGGCCCGGCGCGGTGGCGCAAGTGGTTAAAGGTCCTCCCCTTGCACGCCCGGGATCCCATATGGGCGCCGGTTCTAATCCCGGCAGCCCGCTTCCCTTCCAGCTCCCTGCCTGTGGCCCGGGAAAGCAGTCGAGGACGGCCCAAAGCTTTGGGAACCTGCACCCGCGTGGGAGACCCGGAAGAGGCTCCTGGCTTTGGATCGGCATAGTATCAGCCCGTTGCGGCTCACTTGGGGAGTGAATCATCGGACGGAAGATCTTCCTCTCTGTCTCTCCTCTCTGTATATCCGCCTTTCCAATGAAAAAATAATAAAAATAGATCTTAAAAAAAAAAAGAAAAAGAAAACCCCCCCCAAACCAAAAGCAAAACAGTACACTGGTCACCTACTTTGCACTGAGGGAAAATGCCTTGATGTCAGAATTTATACAGAGGTCTGTATAGAGAACAGTAGAAAGATTAGAGGTGAGGCACATGAATGGACCAGGGAGTGGGCGTGACGTGTGGAGATCTTTGTATCAGAAGCAAATGTCTGCCAAAGACAGTCCACCACAGAAGAGACACTGCACTAGCAACTAAACAGAATGTGGTTAATTCAATCACCCTGGCTGGCACAGTGGACGCCTGAGAGAAGGGTCCATGATGAGAGGGCTGGAGACTAAGTGTGGGCCCAACAACAGCATGGTTTCCTGCTGACCAAGGCCACCAAATGCCCAGCTAGCTAGCAGTAGAATGCTGAGTCCTCCATGTAGGACCCTTCTTCCAGGACATCCAGCAAGGGAGAGTGCTTTGTTATCACAGGGTCATGTCTATGGCAAACAGAGTCTTAACCAAATAACCCCAACTGGTAGGAAACACATTCATTCCAATCTCCAGACTCGAATTACTCCAGAAGTTATGCTAAGTGCTTCAGTCACGTTTTACCACCGCCACCCGCACCAACGTCCCAGCGAGGGCTGCCACTAAGGTTTCAGGCTACTGTTGCACCATCTCTGAAATGATGGCTGGGATCATTCGCTGTGCTTTGGCCAGCAGTTTGGGCATGAACTTAAACGGTCATCACCACTCTCCCAACCGCCTTTGGAATGCCTTCTGGGTTGGGAGTTGAATGTGGCCAGATCACAAGCTTAGCTATCAGCTAAATGATGTTTTAGATTGTAAAAGCCTGCTAACTGCTGTTATAAAATGATTATTTGTGCTACACAAATACTTTCTTCCGTTGTCATTTGGAGAAGTGACAGGTCTCAGAGTTCACCTTCCTTTGTGGATTTATATGTGATTAAGGATTTGTCGCGATGCAGATGTTTAAAAACAAAGTTTTTCTCGATATTGAGCATTTTGACTCGAACAGGGAGGGGAAATTATGTCAAACCAGCCCTCAACAACGATAAGAAAAGTTTGCAGAGTGAATATGAAGAACAGAAAATTTTACCATCATGGAGCGAAGCATAGGACTTAGCTACCAAGGACCCCTCCTGGGGGAGCACGGGGGGAGCCCTGTGGGTGCAGGAAATCCCCTGTGCATTGTTCTTGCTCACATCTTAGACGTTTTGCGAAGGAGAAGGCTATCAATGTGGATTGCTTTACTGCATAAACAGCTTCCCCTGCTTTGGTTACCTTTCTGTTTTGCTTATGTTTACTCTCGTGTATGTGTTTAGCAAAAAACATGCTTTGCTAAAACAGGGGTAAAGGTATTGAAAGAGGGGTGTGGGGATGGCAGTGGATAAAGCTCTTCTTAGAGCAGACATTTGGCCAAAGTGCTATTTACCCTGATTCTAGAACGATTTTGAAGTCAGAAGATCACAGCGTTACAAACCTATGCGAGGAGCGCCCTGTGACTTTGTGCTGGGCAGGAACATTCAGGGGCATCTCCAAGCAAGTCAGCAGTGTGCAGTCTTCTCCCTGGTAAAGCTTCAAAAAGCTCAGATTGTGGCATGGAGACAGTGCCCTGAAAACTATTCAGTAGAATCCAACTATTTTTATATCGCTAGTAATAAAAAAGGCCTTCAAAGTACTTAAAAGAAAGAAGACAGAGGGGGAAATGGTAGCATAATTTATAAAATTAAGAAAAATTGACACATATTTATCTAAGCATATATTTAATCTAAAAATTATGCAAATAGTTATTTTTTAATCCTTTAGATGCCAACATTATGGAAAGAGGAAGGAAAGCATGAGGAAAGGAAGGAAGGAAGGAATGAAAGAGAGAAGGGCAGTGGGTAATAGTGAATCTCTGAACAGATGGAACCTCGAAGGAGTCTTACTGAGTGTGTTATGTTTCCAAGGCCCTGGCTTCACGGGCCTGTAAAGGAGCCTTCTCTGTAATCATCTAATGTTTCCCAAGAGCTTCCAATGTGCTGGGGGCTTGAAGTTGCATGGATTATCTCATGTAATTCACATAATAACCTTTATGAGGTAAGTGCTTTTATTTCCTGTTTAACAGATTAGGAAAAAGTTTAGGCATAATAAGTAACCTGGCCCCCTCTATTTTCCCAGTAAAAAGCTAGGATATGAACTTGGCAGGGGAGCGGGAGAGTAACTCCAGGAGCCAGCAGAACAGAATCTAGCCAGGCATCAGCCACCTCTCGACCACCAACAACTACATCGGGCATTCAGCTCTGAGCATAAACTTCTGAAGGCAGGACGACTGGGTCCAGTTCTTCCAGTTGTGCACTGATCAAGAATGCCGCATCTAAACGGATGCCATTTGCCTTGCAGACATTTTCTAACTTACATGGGAGAGGGGTGAGGATCTGGAGGTGCAGGACTGGGGCCCCTGACCAAGTCCTGGGACACACATGCACACATACGCACATGCACACACACAAGACTGCCCTGCTCCAGCCACGTTTCACGCTCATCCTTCCTTCTCCCACTGCTTCAGGGACTCTTCAGGAACTCCTTTCCTCACCCCAGCTTGTCTTCAAACCTGCTTGGGGACATGTATCGACCACACATGCCGCCGTCTGTGGTGGTTCAACAGGTGCACAAATAAACCAGCCGAGCTCATTCTTAAGGAAGAGGGGCCATTTCTCGTTAGCCAGAAGGTGCCATCTCAGCTATCACAGATCCTGATCATGTCCTCCCGGCCTGCAGCATGCCTTCTGCCTTAGGCCTTCAGTCATTCAAAGCTTGGACTGTGTCCATGCTTCTAATATCAAGTCAAGATCAGCAGAGGTAGAAAGATCTAGCTTTCACAAAGGAAAGAAAGACCCACCCACAGACTATATTCCACAGGGGAAATCTGGTGGTGGTGGGGTTTCATGTGTCATGTCTTTGGGACAAGCCACTCTTCTCAGTGCTTAGATCATCTCACTGCCTTATGTGCTGAATGGGAAGAGGGTTCCTAAGAGCCGGGTTATGCCTTTAAACTGCCCATGAAGGTCTTCTCCACGGGGGTTGGAGAGGCCAGGTCAGCTTCAGGGCACCAGCTACCAGGCGGGTGGCAGGGGAATTCCTCTCCTGAATTTTGAAGTTTTCCTTCTCCCTACTCCTGGGCTGTTGCATCACTCTCTGCAAGATGCCTGAATGGGCCAGCTCAGCTGGGGCATCCTAAGAAGTCTGGAACCCTGTTCTAGAGAAGACAGGAAAGAAAAAGGCATGTGTGTCACTGTTCCTTGGGAGCTGCCGCCCCATCCCTGGGAAACTTCTACAGGAACGAGTGACAGTGACAGAGGCCCAAGACTGGCTCCCTCATGTGAGTCCTGACATCCAGACAGAAGGGACTTGGTGCAGGTGGCAGGGAGCTGAGTGGCAGAGACCCACATCACGCCTCCATCTTGCAGCCTCAGTTCCAATTGCTTCCCAACATGACACACCACCTCTTCTGGTTTTAACCACAGCAACCATCCCTGGTTTAACCAAGAACAACTAGAAGACATTCAAGTACATCAGAGAAATAAGAAGATTCCAGAAGGCTGTCATTTCCAAAAGAGATGGAGGGAAAAATCCCAACTAAGGTGAGTTGCGACTTTCCCCTTTGAATGTGGGTTTGTAGTGGCAGCAAAGGCCTTGGGGGCCCCTCCTGGAACACAGGAGCTCATCCCAGCAAGCTCAGGCTCCTCTCAGCTCTGCGTTCTTGTGTGCACCTGCACCAGCATGCACAGTTCCTCAGTAGAACTATGTAGTTAAATGAGCTCTGGAAAGAGAAGAATCATTGCATTCATTCAGAGCGCTTCCTTTACAGTGGAGAGGAAAGCAGTGTGGTCAGGGTCACTGAGTCAGCTTTGGGCAAAGTTAACTTTCTTGAAGCCCCTTTTGGTCCACTGCCCAAAGAATAGACAAGGTGGGAGGGATAAATAGAGAAGTGGAGCTCAGCGGGGCACTAGAGGACTGGAAGTTGTGCAACAGTCAGGGCTAAAGACAAGGTGGCTAGCTCTCCCTACAGGACCAGAGGGATAATAAATTCTCCCCCACCCCCAGTCCTAATGTGATCTTACCCCCTACGATGCTGTGAATAGGAACAGAGGCCTGTGGTCCCAGCTACTGAATTGGGACACCCTGTACCCTTGGATGAAAGATTTCTGAAGGTCATGGTCAACGAAGGTGACTTGGACTCTTGCCGTTGAGTGTTACCTGTCCAGTCTCCAATCAAGGCTGATAATTCTCTGGAGACATGTTATCTCCTACTCTGAGCTTCCTCATTGCCTCTTGGAAACCGTTTCTCCTCCCAGAGCCAAGAGATTGCTGCACCATGGGGCTTTAGAGGAGCTGAGCGGCGTGGCCTAAGGACTTTGACCCCCAACGTGTGCTGCATCAACACTTGGCACTGGGAGAAAATTAGCCCAGGGGGAATCTAGCTGCCAACCTCAGAATTAGCTTGAACTTGGGGAACATCAATCAAATTGTGGACTAGGTGAGGCACACCCTGTGAGGGTTTCCAGGTGACAGCGGGAAACCAGGAGTTCTGGAGTCAGGGAAAGGGTTGAGGCCGCCATGGTAGTGCGGAAGGAAAATGAAGGCCAGGAGGCAGTGGGTGCCAGCATGATTTGCTGAAGCTGACCCCTCATGGGGCAGACAGGCGCCCTCGTGGAGGCGGCTGGCCAGTGCTGGGCTGCGCTGACCACTCAGGGCTGCCAGGCCAGTCCACGCACCCTTCATTGTTTTCTGCTCCTTGGCTCCCACTCCCCTTCTCCCTTCTTTCACCTCCTCCCTTCCTTTCCTCTCCCTCTTCTCCCATGTCCTCTGCCGTATGTTATCTCTTTTCTCTTGGATTCCCTGCTGCACAACCTATAACTCAAATGGCAGGTGGCTTAGTCTAGCCCAGGGAGAAGAGGGTTCCCGTGCAGCAGCCATACATTATGAAAATACTACTCATGGATCACGAGATTTTTTCTTTTTGTGTGTGTGTGCTAAAATAAGCATATCTTTTAATTTCATTTTTTTCCATCAACTTTTCGAAGTACTTTCATATGAGGGTAAGGAAGCAAAAAGAATTGTAAACTCCAGTGCCTAGGAGCTTCAGGCAGTAAATGTAATCAAAAGCCGATTTTTAATCAAACACAAAGTACCTGAAAACTCTACAGGGAACACAAAAGCAGGCTGATGTGCAATCTCTGTACTTTGATCAACCTGTGGCAAAAGGGCATCAGGCAGTGATCGATCATAATTAATCGGGTACTCACTGAACGAGCAGTGGGTTCCTGCATGCACTGCACTCTCACAGTGGGCGAGACCCTGTCCCCGAGCCAGAAGGCCAAGGGGTGAAGCACAAATCCTGCCCTGGAACAGCTCCCCGCGGCCCATGCAGGAGACCAGAACAAGGGAAGGTTCAGTGTGGGCTGGGGCCCAAGAACAGCTTTTTAGAAGTTGTGAGAAGAAACAGAACAGGCCCAAAGGGCAGGAAGATAGGGTTGAGTAGCTTGAGATTTAATCTAGAATTCCTTGCTACGGACGGGTGATACAGGAGCTGTGAAAGAAAGTGTGCCCTGGAGGAGCCGATTCTCCTGCTGCCAAGAGGAAGGGGTGAAGCAGGAAGAGGATGGTGCTTCACCACCTGGCACATGCCAGCCAAGTCCCACAAACAACGCCAGGCAGATCCTCCTGCTCCCCTGGAGGAGAAACAAATCAACTTCCCCAAGGTCCTGCAGTCCCCTGACCCCTTCACCCTGAGGTGGCTGAGCCACCCTGAGCCACTCAAATGTGTGACTGCTCCACTCAACAAATCTAGAGCTTGGCGCTGGCGAGTGAATGCTGGGCTTGGATTCCCACAGAGGGGATTTCACCTGTTCTGAACCTCAAGTGCAAGGGAAATTTGAAGTGCAATGGCTGTGAGCCAGGCCCAGCATGCACGCTCAGAAACGTGAGGATGAAGCTTTCTCAACGAGGGGGTTTCTCATCCGCTCTTGGACATCCCTGACCAGACCCCTGCACTGACCACTAGAAGTGAGCATATGATGGAGGGGGCTCCCAGGTCCCACCGCTGCCCCTCCCCTGGCTTCTCCTTTGTTTGATCTCGGGCCTCTGTTTACCACCCCCCTGACACACACAATCCGGTGTTCTTTGCAGGTCACCAACCAGAGGGCAGGATGGAAAAAGCCCCTCCTCCTCCTTCTGTACCTACTGCAAGGTGAGTCCCCCCACACAGCCCAGACTCAGGGCTTGCAAAACCTGACCTGAGTCTTCCAGGCTGCGGAGAGCCCTGGTGGCCATGGCAGCAGCACTCAGCACAGTTGGGCATTTCCATGCCTTTCTCTCCTGGGCTCCCAGGCCTTGCAGTGGACTCAGGGGATGCTCAGGTCTGCCTCTTCACCCCCGGTGAGAGCTCTTGCAAAAGGGCATATGCCTGATTTGATGATTTCTAGAGTAGTTGCAGCTGTTCTATTTTCCCTGTCTGTTCTCTTCTGTTTCAGCTGATGACATAAAGACAGCTGAATTTTCAAGATGAGGTTTGTAGAATGCACAAAAGGCAGTGGTAGCAGTGTTCACTCCTAATGAGATTTTGACAAAATGCTTGAGTGTGAGATCCGGCACAAGGGCCACCAAGGTGAAGGCCCTGCCCTGCTTTTGAGGAGTTCAAGAGCACAAAGACACTGTGTGGATAAATACACATTACATTCATCCACTCACGGAGTTCCCGCTCCATGGTGGGCAGAGGGAATACACATGGCTGGTGGGGTGTGGCTGGCCAGGTACAGATGGGTCAGATGACAAGTGGCTCTGTCTCCGAGCTGTGCTGTTGGGATTTCATTCGGACAGGGATGAGGCCCCACTGAGGTTAAGAGGAAGTGTATGCTTAGCATGGCTAATACCTAGGACCTAGTCCTAAGTAGATGTTTAACAACTGCTGAATAAACAAATAAAAATGCTGTGCTAATGTGCCCCAAGAAGTAATAACTGTATCTGGCATACAAATCAATCAGAGCTGAATGGGAGTGAGCCCTGCGGATATGATCACCATCACTTTTTTGTCTCAATCGCCCACTGCGCACTCTGAGATGTTTTCAGTAGGCATTGCTTCAAGTGTCCCTGGCTCCCAAGTGAGGCTCCAGGCAGGCTCTTGCTGCTTTGGCTAAGACCCAATCCTCCCACATGAAGTGCCCTGCAGCTCAAACGTTCTGACTCTGACAGGTCTAAGTGTCTGGTTAACTGTTTTGGTCCATACTTTAATCCTCACTCAAAAACATAACCCTGCCCCGCATAAGGTCTGAAAGTGTGAGTGCCACCCCCACTGTTTGTTCTGTTGATATCTTTAAAAGACAGAGCGACAGGGAAGAAGAGACAGAAATCTTCTATCTGTTGGCTCGCTCTCCATTCCGCAAATGCCAGGGTTGGGCCAGGGCAAGACCAGGAACCAGGAACTCCAACTGGGTCTCCCATGTGGGTGGCTGGAGCCCAAGTACTTGAGCCTTCCAGGTGCACTGGCAGGAACCATGGGGCGGCCAAGACTTGAATATGCATTCTGATATGGGGTGCAATGCGGGTTTAACCCTCTGTGCCATAAGACCTGCCCCTGCCTCTCTTCTTTCCTGCTTCCCTTCCCTCCTGATCTGGGCAGCTGCTGCTTGCCATGGGATGAAGAGAGGCAGGGGAGCATGGAGCCTGTACCCAGCACTCTGGACTACCAGCAGTTCAGGGCTGGCTGGGTACCACTCCCACCTGTGGGTGTTTTGGTGGACACTTGAATGGCCTCTTCTTGCCCATCTCCCTGCTTCGCCAGGTTCCTCTTTGGCACATAGAGGATCCCCTCCCTAGAGCCAGCAGCAGGATGGCTCTCTCCTCTCCAGGACTCAGCCCTATGCCAAGGAGATGCTCACAGCTTTCTTATCCCTCTACTGGCAGGAGACACTTCCCTTCACAGGTGTGACCCCTCCTCTCCTTGCCCTGCCACAGATCTTTCCCAAACCAAGTCAGCCTCCAATCCTTACCCTCTCCCCACCCATGGGCCTCACTGATTCACTCAACTGGAAGCCAAAGCAACAGATGGCTATTGGCAATGAAGGGAGGATGTGAGCTAGGGGCACCTGTTCCCACTAAAGAGCAGAGAAACCGGCACCACATCAATTCTACAGTACTAACTTGACCTTTAATTATCACGAGTGGCTAACACAAAATTCCAAAAACCTTAACTATTGTATAAAACTGAGAGCCACTGATCAGTAACCTATCAAAAGGTTTTTACAGAATCAGTTCTTAACTTTGGTATTACAATAAATTGTGTGCATTGTAGGAATTAATGAAGAACTCTTTATCAGCCATCAGCCTGCCCCATCATGTTGATTATTTAACTGCCATGGAGAGCACAAGATTTTCTGTAGGCAAGTAAGAGAAGCAACTTCTGGGAAGTCACTCAAGCAGCTTGCCGTATGACCTAACTTTCTTTTAGGCCAAATATGTGCTTGCCGTGTCGACATGTGGGCCTTTACTAAGACGACTTCCCAGGAAGGAAGGGGGCGGGGCACCAGCCAGAAGCCATGTGTTAGAGTTCAAAGAAACTGAGTGAGGCTTCCAAGGGAATGTCTATTCTTCAGTCAGGTGGCCACTTCTTGCCATGAACAAAGAAGTGCCTCGAACAAAATAAGTTGTTGCGGGGGAGGTTATAGTAAGTATCTACGTGACAATGGATAACCATGTGACACTGTCTACATGACAGGTAATGAAGAAAGCAGGTATTGAAGATTAACAATGTATAAGCACACATTTCTGACCTTATCTCTTCAAAGGCAGCTGTCTGTCCCATAAGCATTTAATGTTCCAAGGAACTGCAGGTCTCCTGTTTGCTTCTTGGTGTTTCAGGAAGCAGAATGTTCTCATAACAGGGTACAGGCAAGTCTTTGGAGGGTCCAGACTTCCAGGCACACAGTCACCTTTACAATTAACCCCTTTAGTCATGGGCCTGGTGGTGTGGCCATGAAAGGACAGTAGAAGAAGAAGGAAGTGGCTGCAGCCAAAGCCACCAGAAAGATATCTGGGAGGTAAAAGCAAGGCAGCTTTGAACAGTGACACATGCAGAAAGCACCAGCCATGTTGCAACTGTCCATCTCCCTCGCCCTTACCCTCCATGCCCTGCCCCAGAGTAGCCCCCAACAGCAAGCAGAGTAATCCACTATTGGGCTGGACCAGGCGTGTCATTTTTGACTGGAAGTGACTTGTTTCCCAAGCAAGACTGTGAAACCAATGGAAGGTATATGAGATATGCCTGAGATTGCAAAGCAGGGAAATCCACAGAGAAAGGATGAAGGGGTAATAAAAAATACTTTGTTTCTAGTTGTGCCCTATCAAATGCAAGTCAGCTGGTATACTGGCCATGCACTGTGGTTCCACCACATTGTCTTAAGACCAAAGCTGCCATTTTTGCCGTTCTGCTCACTCATAGTTTGATGGTATCACTTGGCTCTTCCTGTTTCTGTAGAAGAGTGGGCAGTGTGAGCTTTTGCACTGCAGATCCATGCTGTTTCCATGGAGCACAACAGGATTCTCGGGTTGAGGGCCCTATGTCCTCAAGGTGACATCTTTTCAAGCGTCTTTCCTGAGGCACAGAGGAGAGAGCCCAGTCCCTTGATGGTTTTATAGGAACACACACAGCACAGTGAACATTAGCTAAATAGTGCACCTGTTACCGCATCTCCATCTCTCAGATGGCGCCTCTTGGCTTCAGCCCATTTCCTATCTTGCGGTAACAACTACTTTCCCAGTGACTGAGCTCGGCCACTTCTGCTCTGCTTTCACTGTGGCATTTGGTGATCTGACCCCCTCATTCCAGCACCAGCTAAAGCCTGGAGCAGTGACTATGCTCAGCACTCCCTCTGCTCTGACTTTTTTCCCCTCTGTTTACAGATGCAAATGCTCTAAAGGGTCCAAAGCTGGTGTCTGGGGAGCTTGGGGGAACTGTCACCATCCAATGCCACTACATCCCTGTGTCAGTCAACAGGCACCAAAGGAAGTACTGGTGCCGCGTGGGACCCCCGAGGTGGGTCTGCCTCACCATCGTGTCCAGCAACTACTACACTCACCACCGCTATCGTGGCCGCGTGGCTCTCACAGACTTCCCACAGAGGGGCATGTTTGTGGTGACACTGTCTCAGCTTTCCCCCGACGATGTGGGGTCCTACCGCTGTGGCATTGGAGACCAAAACAACATGTTTTTCTTCAGTATGAACCTGACCCTCCCCACAGGTAGGAGCTGATGACCAATGGCTACACTTGGTGAAGTTAGTGCTGGGAGGTAGAAGCGAGGGCTCAGCAGCCTCCCTGGAGGGCTCCAAACACTGAAGAATGGGGTGGGGGTGTGCTGATGAAAAGCAGAGCATGGGGCAAAGACCCTAAGTCAATATTTTCTGCTTGAATGAAGCATCAGGAGCAGGCTATGAATGAAGACAGTTTTAGAGGTTCAAGGCCATGAGGCCTGCTTGAGCCCCATTCCCATGAGGGACTCCTTAGCTGCATCTGAGCTAAGTCACCAACACTGAAATTGCTCAGGGGACTCCCACCCCACCTCTGAACCAAAGCTTTGAGGGGAAAAAATATCACAGCAGGATGCACGCAAGCGCTCCATCCAATTCTCCCATGTCTGACAGCTCCCAGGCCAAGCCCCCGGCAGCAGATTCCAGAGGGCTGATCAGAGACGGGTGTGGAGAGCACACGTGGCGCATTCCAGCTCTAACAGGCCACTCTCCAAAGCAGACGGTCTGGTAGGAGACGGTGGGGGACAGATCAGTGTTATCGACCCTGCCATCCAGCCATCTGCTGTCCTAAGCTTCTCAACCAGAGGCAGTGCTTCCTGTTGCTCTTGTTTGAAGAGTAGAACTTCCTTAGGGTGGAGGCTGCTGGGGGAAAAGGACAGCATGGGCATCCTGGCACTGGGCTGGGCGGATGGAGATAGGAATGTAAAATGTCAATATTTGCCACTGACTACAGAAGGCATCTGGGTTACCCACACTTCTGTTTTACTCCAACATATTTGCTGAAGATTGTGTCTTTTAGTGAGGTTGCATTTGGTATAACAAGCATTTTGAATCCAGCAGGTGGCCTGGATGGCTTCCCATGTGGCCTCCCCCTGTTGTTCACACAGGCGGCCCCAGCAGTGTCCCCACAGCTACAGAGCTCATCACAGCATCCATAGGAACAGCATCTCTGGCACCTGACAGATGGACCTCAGGGACCACCCAGGCTGTGGAAGTACACAAGACAGAGTGGGACAGTGTTGTCCCGACTCCAGGAAGGAGCAAGACCACACCTGCAGCAAAGGGAAGACAAGCCCCAGGAACAGCCAAGACAATAGCTCCAGGCACAGGCCTCAGAGGAGCGCGTTCCATGGAGGCCACAGCTCCTTTCACAGGGAGCCCAGCTTCCCCACCCAGAACCACATCCGATTCAGCAAGTGCAGGTGCATGGAGCACCGGAAGCTCAACCACTTACAGGGCTGGGACCAGCATGGAGGAACGGGTGATGGCAACCACTGAGGCCTATGAGCCACAGCAGGAAACAGCTGGGGAGGTCCCAGAAGCCACTAGGCCATCAGCTTCCATTTCAGGAAGCTCAGCCTGGAAAGGCCTCCAAGAAACAACACCTGTTTCTACGCAGCAAGCCCTGGATGCCACAGGAGGCACAAGCCCAGACGCCGGGGTGTGGCTCTCGGAAGACCCCAGCACAGAGACGGCATCTATGGAAGAAAGCACTGGTGGGGAGATGCACATCACTGCTGGGACTAGTGGCCCCCAAGCAACGCCCAGCCTGGCCCCAGCAGCAAGCACACGGAGGTCTCCTGGCAAGGAGTCTTCAGTGAAGAGGTGAGCCCCAGGGTCCCTCCTCTTGGTGGACGGGCACATATGTGCCATCCTTTGGCTCTACGCCCTCTGCTCCTATTGTTCCAGTCTGAAAGTAAAGTTGTGATGATGCAAACATCAGACACATGGCTGCCCGCCCTCCTTCCCTCGGGAGTCCCTGGGAACACAAGCTGAATGTTTAGACTTAGAGAAAAATCTGGGATGACGGAATATTTAGGCTGGAATCTTCGGGGATTTTGGTCATTAAAAGGAAGAACAGAAGTTGCAGAGAAGGGAGGTAACTGCCTGGGTGGGGAGCAAAGAAAGATTGTGGCAGAGCCCAGCACCAGGGCTGGAGTCCCAAACCTTCATTCAGATCCCTTTCTCTCAGTAACACACAGTCGAGTGTGCTATTTACAGTCAAGTGGAGCAAAAGGGACATGGGCCCTGGGGACCGGGCTCTAGCCCCGGCTCTGTTATGAGCCAGCACAGGACGAGGGCAATTCACTGGCCTTGGTCTCAGTTCCCACACCTGGGAAATGAAGGGTGGGGGCGAGGGGTCTTCAGCCTTCTGTTCAGCTCTACCCCATCTCCTGTTTCTTGCCATCCCACCTGGCGCCTCCCACCCCAGTGCTCTTCCGGAAGAGGACAAAAGCTCTTGGACCCTGACCCCGGTCCTGACCACACTGGCTGCATGTCTCCTCGTAGCTCTCACTCTGCTGCAGTGGAAACTCCGAAAGTGGAGAAGGAGGAGAAGGACCTGTGAGTGCAGTTGATACAGTCCCAAGGGGGGGGGGAGGGTGAGGGGTGCGTGCCCCTACCTGACAACCTCACTGCTGGGGGTGGGACCCTTTAGAATTGGCACCAGGACTTCCCCACCAAGAGGAACTCAATTCCATTCTGAGCCATTAAACCACTTTTGGTCTGCTTTCTTTAAAAAATATTTTATTTTATTTATTTAAAAAGCAGGATTACAGAAAAAGAGAGCATGCTCTTCCATCTGCTGGTTCAAGTGCCTAAATTCCTGCAATGACCAAGGGTGAAGCCAGGAGGTTGGAATTCCACCTGGGTCTCCCAGTGTGGGTGCAGGAGCCCAAGCACTTGTACCATCTTCTACTGCTTTCCCAGGTGTCCTGGAAGGGAGTTAGATTGGGAGTAGAGCAGCTGGAACTTGAACTAGCACCCATAGAAGCAGCTGGGACTCAAACATGACAGGTGCTGGCTTAACCCACTGTGTCACCATGCAGGTACCTTGGCCTGGTTCTTAATCAGTATGATAGAAAAACACCTGATGCATCCTAGAGGGCAAAGGGGTGCTCTTTGTCATTGGCAACAGCCCTGTTAATAAGCCCAGGAGCTACATTCCAACCCCAGAGGAGACAGCAGGACAGTATTCAGCCCTGGGGCCACATTCTGCATGTATACCCTTCTTCATGACCTCTCTGAGCTTCCTTGACAGCCCTGGGACCAGGTTCAAATATGCCCAAAGTGAGGGCACCCTGGTATGTAGACCCAGTGAGAAAAGGGTGGGAGTTCCTGGAGGCAAACTATCCCTGTTGCTCCAAGTTGCCAGTTTTCTGGGCAAAAAAGCTCTTGGAAACTTGCAGTGAAGAGGAGGGTTGGTTCCCAGGGAGGCAGTGTCAGCCCCGACCACACCTCCAACCATTAAAGCCTTTCTGTGTCTCTGCAGTTCGGGAGGCAGAACAGGCACCAGGGATCACCCTGGTTCAGATGACACACATGCTGGAGCTGTACCAGGACCAACCCCATGTGCAAATGAAGATGCTCCGCCAAGACTCAGCTCCTACCCAAGCCAGTCCAATGTGCTTTGAGCAGGACCCAGAAACCTCTTAGTCCACACAGACAGAAGACCACGACTCAGCACCTCCAAGCCCCAGCCTCTTCTCAACCTGAGCCACCTGCAGAACACAAAGTGATGGAACCGGGGCACCATCTGGGGAAGTATATCTTGACCATCCTGAGACTAAGAATATCAAACTTTCTCCTTGGCCAAAGGTGGCTTCAAGAAAGGGGTTACTCAAAACTCTAAGAAAGGCCACCAAGGGTGAGTGTGGACTCTCCAACCCTGGATGCTTGCAAGAGGCTCCAGGTCAGGAAGGGAGATTACACACTCTCTACCAAGGCTCCTCCCAGCCTCTTCTGTTGAGTGCCCCTTTTGCCGACACCTGTTGTTGCTCAACCTGTTACTCATGTTGTTGAACTATCCTCACAGATCCCAGGCTTGCTTCTCAAAGAGACTCAGCCACTTTAGAACACTCATTGTGCTTTGTCCATCTCAGTGTGTCTACAGAGTTTCTAACCCGAAGGGCCCCAATAAATTTCTGTGACTGATTGGCTAGCTGGGGTGTCTGTGTGGCTAGTCTGTGTGGCTTCTTGGGGACCCCTGAATTCCCACCTGGGCATTCATCTGGGCACCCTCTAGCTGACTCCACAGGCAGGTGGTTCCTATGGAGACCCAAAGGAAACACATCCATTCTTCAACTCCTCCCCCTGGTAGGGCCTCAGACACAAGACTTTTTGACCTGACTGTGATTTTTTTTCTGGAATTTTCCTAAATTTATGCAGGAACAGGGTATTTTTTTTTTATCAATATTCATCTTCTCCACAAAGCTCTCTTGTCCAGTTGCTGATACATCCTTGGCACTAGGAACAGTGGATGGAGCTGAAACATGCTTTTTTTTTTTTTGGCAGGGGTGGGGAGGACAAAAGAGGAATTTTCTGTGGCTCCTGCTTGGTGAACATATTCCTTCATGCTACATGGGGGACTTTTACTCTGCCTTCTTGGGAACTGCTCTTTGCTTTTTGCCAGATCAGGGAACAAAGCTCTTTGGATTCTGTCTTTGGGCTGAGTTGCCTTCAAGCAAAAGAAGAAGGAGGGAAAGAAGGGCCCAATGAATGAGTTGAGAATTTTCAAATGATTCTTTCCAGATGACTCATCCCTGCCTCATAAGCCACCATCAGCATAAGAAATCCATCAGTAAGTCTGCCTCATTTCTGGCCCTAGACTCAGACACTCTGCCAAGAAAATCAAAGAGATGCTGTCCTCACATCCAGAAAGAGGGACTCCTTGTTTTGGGTAGAGAAGTAGAAAAGATGCATGGACCTAACCAAGCAGAATCCTGAATTTCAGGGCTCATTGATCTTGAGAGGTTGTCAATGTAGAAGCAAGCTAAGTGAGGCCAGTTTGGGGGGAAGGGGTCAGGGAAGTCAATTTCTAAAAGTCACCCAGTTGATCCAGAGTGAGAAATACAAAGTGAACTCATGCTCTTGGTCCAGTGCCTGGTCCGCTTGGTCATGGTGGTTGAGCAATGTATGAAAACAAAATTGTGAAAAATCAATGGTGACAGCCTTCCCTCGAGGCCATCTGCATACACTGCCTGGGTAAGAGTGACAAGAGAGATCAGAAAGACACCACTATCCCATGCAGCCAATGAGGGAGCAGCCCCAGAGGGATGTCATTCAGCCAAGGTCATGGGGTTTGGGAGGAAGAGCCTGAGTGCGCAGGCTGTTGGTTCTGCCTAACCAGTGTTTACCAGGGGCATCCCCAGAACACCAGGTTCTCAAGTTGTTAACAGGTGTGTTGAGGAATGAAGGTGCATAGAATTGAGGAGCTGAGGCAGTGCTGGGCCAAACAACAAATGAACCCTCCTGTTTAGGATCTCAGAATCTTTAATACAGCAAAGTGCACGGTGGGGGACCCCCAACTCCCACCCTAGAGCGGGTGTTCCCAAGTGTCTCCATCTCACAGGTTGAAATTGCTCAGATCACTCAATCCAGGGCTTTACCAACTTTTTCTCTAAAAGAGCAGATAGTAAATCTGCTCTTGGCAGGCCATGCCACCTGTGGCAACTAGTCAGTCTGGTGGTTCAACTCAGAAGCAGCTAGAAGCCACATGTACACCAAGGCCTGGGGCTGGGGTTGGCAACACTTGACTCTTGGCCTTGAGAGGCAGGCTTGTGGTGAGTTTCCCAGCCCCAGAACCACTGGAGACTCTCCTGTCCTATCTCTGATGGGTCAGACCCTTCTCTTGCTCAAGAATCACCCCTCCTCTGGGGTCTCTGTTTTCTCTGAATCCTTCTAGCACCTTCTTGGGTCTGGAGTTGAGTGACTGGACAGTTCTGCCTTATTGTCCCAGCCTGGTGATGAAGGGGACGGAGGAGGAAGCCAGCCCAGTTTTGGTGTTGGTAGAGTAGAGCAGGAATGTTTCCAAATTAAGTAAGTTTTAGGGACAGGCAAAATGCACTGGAAGGAAGGGCATGGCCAAGTTCAAAGAAAGGGCCAGCAGAGTCAAGATCAGAGTCTCAGGGCCAAGAGTTTAGAAAGGGAGGTGGAGATAAGATCTGAGTAAGAGCAGAGCGGGAAGGAAGTGGGGAAGCCCCAAGAGCTTACAGCTCCGCTTTATGGACTAACTGATGCATGAAAAAACAAGAGTGTGGTCTTAAAGGGCCAGCAGGCCACTCCAGCACTTGCATGGCCAGTGACTCCTGGTATATCTTATTTCCCAGCCAGCATGCTGCCCATACCACTGAGTCGAGACACAGAGGCACATTTATCACTGGGCAGGATTCAGGGATGCCTTCATGGAGTTTGTAACTCAGAGAGTAGGGAATCCAGTAACTTTCATGTGACCAAGCAGGTTCTCCAGCTGAGGGTGCAGCTCTCTGTTTCTCTCTGTCCTATTACTAATGCTACTGCTGCTTGCTAACATGTGACAGCAAGCACCACCCTCGGGGCTTCTGAATCCCATATGTCATTTGAGGCAGCATCTATGTAGGTGAGTATGATCACTCCCTTTTTGCAGATGAGGAAATGCAAGGCCAGGACCACTAAGCAGTTTACTGGACAAAGGACCAGCTGAGACTTGAACACAAAGTGGTTCCCACCCACCGCCCTCTGCCTCATGCCATTGATTACTGGGCCACTGCGCCTCTTTCCTAGTTTGGATTTACGGCCCAGCTACCTGATTGGATGGGTTTCTTGGTTGAGATTCTAAAGGCTCACTTGTTTCTCTCTTTGGTGCTCGTGCGCGGACGGTTACATAAGCATTTCCGGGAATTCGTTGTGTTTAGTCACTAACTAGTTTATTCTTGTCCTGGCCTAGTGAAGCATAAAACCAAGCTCAAAGAGCCACAACTGTCGGCTGCAAAAGCCAAGCACCAGCCCCGAGGACCCTGATAGCATTTGTGCAAACAGCGTTCCCATGGTGCAGATCCTGTGGGGACGCCCAGGTCTCAGGTGATAAATAGCAAAAGCTGGATCCAAAGCCAACTAGCATCTCACTGTTTTCCACTCACACACTCTGGGAGATTCTTCTCCTTCAGTAGCTGATGTAGTGTGACAAACGCAGAGTCAGTGCACTGACAGCCTCTGGGGGAAGGTCTACGACACATTCCAGTGGCGTGGAGCCACCAGGGCAGGCACTTCAGAACTGACAGCTCAGCCAGCAGGGTGGTACCTGGAGAATCAACACGACAGGAAACAGACTGTGAATGACCCTGCACACATCATCGTCCTGCATCGGCAAGCTGTCTGTTCTGCACTACGTCCCGCAGCATGGTTTACAGATGCAGTCCTCCCAGGCCTGCATGCCCCCTTCACGTTCTGCAGGAAAAAAAGAGTTCTGCTCCCATCCCACCCAGCACCTGCTCCTCAAGGGGTTGGCTGAACCGTAGGTGGGTGGCAGAGGGGTGCTGACCATGGAACAGGACTCCATGCCACAATTCTGGGTGATGTGTGGGGCTCACAGCACATAGCCCAGGGCCAGCAGGCTGGGGTTTGCCTGCAGGTCTCTTCTCCTTAAAAACATTGTTTGGTGCCTAGCATGTGGACCTCTTTAAGTTCTGCTTCTTCCAATTTCTGGCCTCTTTCCTGCTCTCCACTTACTGAGTGGCTCTCTCCAGATCTACCTGTTCTGCACAAAGCCTGCTGGGCCAAACAAAGGCCGCTTCTTGCCCTGAGTTGTGAATTCCTAGTTTCCTAATCCTGAGTATATTAGGAGGAAGAGACGCAGAGTTCAGGAAGTAGGAGTGAAGGCATTGGTGTCTCTGGGGCCTAGCCTGGGAAGGGTGGCCTGCCTGGAAAGATAGGTGGCTCAAACTTCTTGCCAACCCTCACCACTCTCCACCCAGCCCCAACGTCAGCTGTACACTGTAGACAACTGAGGGTTAATTGCAAAGGCCATCATCAGAAAGAGCCACGCTGCCTGTGTCCACATGGGAACACTGAGACTGTAACAGGTGCAGGCTGCAGGGCCTAGCTCTCCCTAGATTGCCAGCCAGGCAAACTCTGGGCTGAGGGCCAGGCCCAGACCAGGAACAAGGAAAGGGCCAGCGTCCAGAGGAGCCCCCCAGTGGCTTTCCACAGAGGCTGGGCCTGTCACCCGACACTCACCTGTTTACTTTGGATGCCAGCAACAAAAAGTCTTCCTCTTGCTGCTACTCTTTAGCCAGGGTGTGGAGGTGCAAAAGGGAAGGAGAGTGGTTCAGCAAAAGCTGGCCTGTTTGTCCCTGGTTCTCAGAACCAGAGAGTTAAAAATCCTTTGCAGCTCAGGTGCCAGACGCAAAGGGGAACTGAGAGAATTTCTGGGTCTTGGCGCTCAACATTCCACACCATCTTCACTGATTCCTATTTCCATGACAGCCTCCCTGGGGGCAGACACAGCCAGTCTCTGGGCCCCTACCCTGAATCCTCCATCAGCCAAATGGGGCAGAAAACCAACCACCCCCGTCCTCCAACCTCAGGAGCAGCAGAAGAAATGGGCTCACTCTCTGCTGGGAATCAGTTGGCCTAGGAAATTAGGAGATAGATGGAACCTGGTGCAGCAACAAACGGAGGCAGGTGGGCAGACAGATGGAGGAGACTCAGATGTTCAAGTGGAAACAAGATTTGAGATATACACCAGAAAGGCACCATCTCCCACTCCACCCCCAGGATAAGAGCCAGTAGACACACTATAACTTCCTTGCTCCCTTCACACCCCTAAACCCACCAGCTA